TAGGGGAAGTTTTCGTGCGAGACTCGGTTCCCTCGCAAATTTTGCGCCTCTTGTAAGTTCACGCATGGATACCGTTGTAGACAAATACACTTTATAGCAGTCCGGAGATTATAAGCGTTGACCTCAGGACAAGCGATCCAGGTGTCTTCAAGAAGATGTATGACTGGCTGACTTTGTGTTCTTCGTGTTTAACCAGACCATGATAACTGGCAGAGAATTGAGTCCAAGTTTAGTGCTGACAATTCAAGAGTTTCAACATTGTCTCTCACTGGCTTGACATTCACGGCTGTTGTCTGCGACAGTTTGTTTATTTGGGGAAATGCTCTATTCTTCAGGTATCGATTTAGTTGATTTTAAGTGTAAAAAGGAATAAATCAAAGCCATAATACATTGTAAGAGTCTTAGTCTTTTCAGTTTAGCTTCACCTTTTTTGATTTGGCTCAACTTAGTCCAAGTAATTCGTTCTTTGTCAGTGAAACCGGGCAAAGATGATTTCTTAAGCTTTCTTTCTGAGAAGATCCTGTGTAGCCGCAAGCCTTTGCGTTTCACACATTTTTATAACCCGCAAAACAGGTGGACTAGCGGGACAGAGTGCGACACGCGCTCGTGTTCGCGCTCGTGTATCGTGCTTCGCGGTCCTCCCTACTAATCTGCCTGTTCTGCAGGCTCTACCATTTTCAAAACCGAAGTACTTTTTTAACAAAACGTTCGTGCTACATTTCGTTTTCCAAACTGCAAAAAGCTTGTATGACGTGAATTGCCTGTCACTCGTAACTTTTTATTTTTAACTTGCTCTTTTCTTTTCAGTCCAGATGGTGGAATTTCCATTCACTGGCTGACTGGTTTTCCTGGTAATTCAACGATAATGGTGTTCACTTCCTCTGCGTCTGATGGAACGTTTGCATTCCTTACAGACATTCAAGAGGTGGGGTTTGTTCGTATTGTGTATTGTGTAAGTCCACAACCACTTTCAAACTCAGTTTTACAATAACTGCAGAAATTCTCGCGCGCTCATTGGCTAATTTTCATTGTCAATAAGCGGACGGACAAATCAATGTATAATTTAGGCGATGCTGAGATCCGTTGGTCAGGACTACCCTAGACGGTATTTTTTAAATACATTTATTTATTTCAGCACGATACAAACAGGTAGATTTTCACCAGATTACTTGATTGCTTCTTACTATTCTACTTACAATTGTTTTAACAGAAAAAGGAATGGTTTCCTTACAGAATGAAACTTACTCATTTGACTTTTCGATTTGTAAAATAATCTGATTGTTAACGAAGTGTAAAACATAAGATAGGCATAAAGTTTTTAGCTCAAGCCTGAACAAAGTGTATTGGTCAGGACCCGGGGGGTAGGATACTCCCAGAAGAGTTGTGTGGGGGTGTGCGGCCCGCCTCCCAAAACCCTTACCCTATTTATGACCAAAATCTGCGATTTTCGCTACCCTATTTGATTTGACCAAAAATTCGGCACCCTATTTGTGACCGTTGCGGCTGACACAGTTGCCCTAGACATAACTTATGAAGGGCTTTTATTGATGGTCGTATGGATAACAAGAAAGAAGAAACATACCCAGTTGAAGACTAGAGTGGGTTTAAACCATACCCAGTCTATTTATGACTAAATTGGCCAAGATCAATACACTGTTTATGACCAAAACGGCTGAAAAACCATACCTTTAAGGGCTGCACATACCAGGAGCCCATTGCTCCTGCACATACCTATTTAGCCCATATAAGGGAGTAACCCCCCCTCCCCCGGGGGGGATCAGGACATATCTAGACTATTGTAAAAGTTTATCAAGAGACGTCATGTGTAATCTTCTTTTGTTCTTATCACAGGTCTGGGTGGGCCAAGCAGGCTCGGCTGAGGTTCAACGCCTTAAAAGCACTCTAGGCGAAAACGCGCTCGCTCCAGGCTTCCATTCTCGCAACAGTTCATTCGTTCTGTCGATATTCTTTGACACAGCTAGAAGGTTGCAGAAGGTTAGTATACAGGGATGGAAGTAGACTGTAGCGCTGGTTATTGGTCACTTTAAACAAGAAAACCAAGTACAGCAGGTTAATGTGCTCTGCAGTACAGTAAAACAGGTTACCATTAGGTTAGTGTTTAGAGTGAAACTGGTTATAACAGGTTCAGATAGTTCCTAACAAGTAAGTGTTCAGTGAAACAGGTTACAGCAGGGTTTTCGTGTAGGGAAACAGGTTACAGTCAGGTTTGAGTACAGTGAAACAGGTTATCGCAGGTTAGTGCCCAGTGACGCAGATTTCATCAATTTAATGAGCAGTAAAACAGACGTCTCTTGAGCGTGCGAAGATGAAACTCAGGGTATATAATTTGGTGTTCCGCCAGATTGTAGCTGAAGGGAGAGATGATGGTGGCGAGACAAAGTGTATCTCTCGTGAGGAAATTCCTGTTGGCAAGATTATCTCTCGGCAAATATTCGCTCAGAAACAAGAAGAAAATGTAAGAAACTATCAAAACAACAAGACCAATTTAACGTCTTGCCTCCAGAAACCTTCAACCAATCAGAATCAACTGAACATTGTAGAGCGCGCATGTCCCTTCGCGCGGATCGCATTTCAGGCTACACACGATGTGTTATATACAAGAAAGTGCTTCTACAAATTTCAGCCGACTGTGCAATGGGACGGCAGTCTCGTTCAGAAGAGCGCCACCCTTCATGAATACTTCAATAAAGTGAGCAAGGCTGTTGACGCGGACTGCAGCGGCATAAGTCAAGATAGAAGACAGGCCACGAAGGATGATTTACCGGATGTGATTCAGCTTGGACGATCCGAGTGGTACTCGTTTGTGTTTTATCTTTATTTGGAACACGGCCAAGTTGGTGAGTTATGATAAAAAAAAAATAAAATTAAAAAAAAATTACCATATTTAGAGAGGAAGCCACATCAGCCTTAGGGCCTGATTACATGAACTGGGCTGGTGTCAGTTTGCGGCGCGCCGAAGCAGCCCGGCTTATGTAATCAGGCTCTTAGCTGGTTTTCATCTGGGTCCTCTCTCCTGGTAGAATTTGAATTTGGAAATGTTTGTTTTTTTTGTGGAGAAAAACCCTCGAAACAAGGAGAGAACCAACAACAAACTCAATCCACATAGGGCACCGGGCCGGAATCGAACCCGGGCCACATTGGTGGGAAGCGAGCGCTTTCACCACTGCGCTAACCCTGCTCCTGAAGGTAATATTAGTAAGTTATAATAATCATCCCACTGCGCATGCTTGGTATTTATAATATTATTAATAGAATGTCTAATGAAAAAAAAACGATGATCTCTGTTGCCCAGAAACCAGCATGCACCCGTGGAGTCTCTCTCATCTCCAGGCCTCGCTTCATGTGTCAGACGCCACGGTTCTGAATGTAACGTCGCTGAGAACGGAACTGATTCCCCAAAAAGCAGTCAAATATGCGGTGAGATGGAAAGAGATGTAGTGTGATAAGCGGAAATATGCTATTCCAGGCCCTGGCCAAACTAATGCGTTTTGAAAAGCATCCGTTTTCGTCTCATCCAAAACGAAACAAAATAATTTCGTTTCATTCATTTGATGCGTTTTGATGCGCTTTCAAAACGCTCCACTTTTGAAACCTTTTTCGAAAGTCTCCGTTTTCATAAGCGTTTTTGGACGTTTCAGTGTAAACGATAACGATAGGCGAAAACGCAGCTAAAAGTATGCGTTTTCAAACAAAAACGCTTTAGCGTGCTCGAGGCGTAAGTCGCCTTCGAGCTGAAAATGTGTTCCATGGCTTGCTCAGAAAATGACAATAGGCCATCAGTTAATATATTAACCTCATAGTTCACTTCAGTAAGCGCTAGACTGATTAGGTAAACGGTTTCTCTTAGTTTGCCATTCATGTAGAATCCATTCCAATTCAAAATTTCATTTTATCGAAAATGCACATTTTAAATGTTTTGTCACATTTAAACAATTGTGCCTGTAGGTAACCTTGCAAGATGGCGGAGTCAGACTCACACAATACCGCCCGGGCGAAGGACTCGCGCCTGCCTCTTTACATATTAAGGTGAATGAACCTTTTGTTACCTCTTCAATTTGGGTGTACATGTACGTGCCAAGTACATGTCACTGTTACTTAGCAACCACGGGCTAAGTTGTCAGTCTCGAAGGCTGCCAATCATAGCAAACCCCACTGACGCAATGAGCCAACCAGGGCTTGAAGCTGAACGTGTCACCGGTGCCAAGCGCGGGAAATCGCGCGTCAGCCTAGTTAGCTTTAGTTTCATCTTATTTTTGTTTGAAAGACTCGTATGTTTGATAACACTGGCTAGAGCATGTAGCAATCAACTCAACTTGAAGTGAAGGGTGTACTTTCTTGAAGAGCAGTTAATTGCACAATATTTGTGTTAATTTCTGGATTAAATCATGTTAAAGGTGGTAGAGCCTCGATGTGGGAATTGGAGGCAAAAAAGTACTTTTCGAGTCACAGTCTTTCTTCCCATAACATCGAGTCTCTGTTTTTTTCCCGCAGATTTGGAATTCTGGTTTGTCTTGTAGCACCAGTTATGGCAGTAGGGGCGCTCTTCAGGTAAACTGCTGGCATTTTGGATTAAATATAGTGCGTCTGGTGTTGTTACCAGAGAGCGCAACGATAAATCGCCACACATGCGCAGCATAAAGATCCTCTTTTTTAGGTGTATTTAGGAAAGTAATACCTGTCTGTCCTTGATGGAGATGCTTCTGAGCCTGAGGATTTTGTTTGTGATGTGTTGAGGAGTAACTGTCTGTTTTGTATGAAGTCACATTAAGAAATCAGATACATCGCGCAAATCTTCGTTGAGCCACAGTGTGGCATTTCTCTATAGTTTATGAGAAGTAAATTTGCTTTACGTGTGAATGTCGTGGTGGCCTCATGGTTAGTGCATTGGACTCCGGATCGCGCGGTCCGGGTTCAAGTCCTTGCCGCGGGGACATTGTGTTGTGTTCTTGGGCAAGACACTTTACTCTCACAGTGCCTCTCTCTACACGGGAATATAAATGGTTACACGCAAATTTCATGCTGGGGATAACTCTGCGATGGACTTGCATCCCATCTGGGGGGGAGAGTAGAAATACTCCTCATTTAATGTTACTGACAAATACAATACAATACAATACTGGTTTAATGTGAATATACGCTTAGCTATGGTGGTACATTACGTATACACAAAGTTGACAGCGTCGGCAAGATGGGACACTTCGGCAGGCTCTTGACACCTGTCATGAAGCAAAATAACTCCTCCATCCCTTCGATTTAAGCTGGAACATAAACCATTCACAGCCACTACCATTTTCAATCAAAAAAATCAGTCGTCCCTTTAAAGGGACACAGTCAGCTGGTGCACATGCGCATTAGATACCATTTCATAGCTAATTTGCATATCACAGAGGTGCAATCCATACTGTTTTTAACCAAATATGATAAAAAATAACATCAAAGGACGAGCAAAAGCACACTCAAAAACAGGTGTTTCAGTAAATGATTGAAAATCAAGCAAAACACAGCGAAGATTGAAGCGGATTTCTAGATGTCCTCGACGAGTATCTTTGATTTCACGTTGAGTTGGACTCTTTTCAGAGTGAGAAAACTGGTGTCCAGGTCAGCGCGGTTCCACAGCTTACTGTGTTCCTTTAACACTGATATTTTCCCTACCAGGGTTCGTATGCAGTGGCTGTGCTTCTCGGGTGTCCCGCGGGTCGCAAGCTGGTGTTTGATCCGGAGGCCTCCAAGACCGCTTCGGGCAGAGAGCATTTCTGCTCTCCCGTTCATGGTGTACCGTGTTTCTATTTTTATCGAGGTAAGGTATTGAAATTCACATTATAAGTTCAAAGGACACCTTGAAAATTCTGAAATACGCCCCCACAGAGATAAAATCTAAAACGCGAGAATCGTTTTGAAAATAAGCACTTTTAGTTGAAGGGCTGAAAAGGTAGTTTCGTATATTCAGATTTCTTTCTCTTAGAATGATATGATGTTTTCAGAATTCAAGCCTTCTATCAAATATCACAGATAGCAATTTCGGTTTTTATTTATGTTCTTGCGCTACAAAATGCTCGGAAAACCTAGCTATTGATCAGTTCGAAGTTGCTAAAGGTACATTATGTAACCGCTGTAACCCGTTTGTGACGCTGACATTTTCAGCGTTCAAGCCCTTCGCCAGGAGACTTGCAGTGTTTATTTAACGACTGCACTTGCCTTGTGTCTCATATCGTTACGTTTAGAGACATTTACCAAGTGGTGTTCCTGCATGGAGAGTTGTATAGCTGGTGTGCCGGATTAGTTTCTGCTAGTGGTTACTGACTTAATCTAGTAATTGTTTATTTCGATTTATTCAAACATTCATGGCTGAACTTAAAATTGAAAAACAACAACGTAAAACGTCTGGTTGGCAGATTTCCTTCCAGTGTTCAAAGTATTTGACCTAGCCACGGGACAGATAAACCAGTTTCATGGAAAATATGAACTGAAGATTGTAGGAGGTGGACCGACCTACCAGTCAATCACACATTACTCGCAGGAAGAACAAACGAAGTATAACTACCAAACTACAAGGTACATATTGAAATATCTTATTTTTGCCCGTAGTAGAAAATTGAGCATTGCTGCTTCATTGCTTCCACAGTCTGTTAAGAGACAGGGAATATATCATTACCTCTTGAGATGGGCATTGTACTCACAGAAAGTTTTCCCGTTCTTCGGGAAAATAATCCTGCTGGTACCCTTGAACGAAGCCCCGTCTCGAGGGAGCGGGAGTAATGCAAGTTTAAAATCAGTTTAGAATTCAGTTTTCCTTCAAGTGTGTTATTTTGCTCTGAAATTCTAACTTTGGACCTTAAAGGCTGGAACAGGAATAATTCTAGTGTTTGGCAAGACAAGGTTTCACTTCATAGCCAGTCTCAAAGTCTGGTTTGTAGATATCGAACCTGGAAGAGACACAAAATCGACTAGATTTGTGTAGCTTTATTCTCTCATGGAGTTTTTCATCTTCGCCCAATTACAGTTCCACGGCTTCTTTGATCTGGGCATCCAAATTAAAGACTTTAGGAGATATCCCTGTATTTGACAGTGAAACAAATGGCATAAGGTAAGTTAAACATATGCCCGTAATGCCTCAGTGCTATTTCTAGCCATCTTTGGTCTCTTAAGACGTATTACTGTTCTCTGGCAAGCGCCCGTTTTCACAATAAAGACATACAGTGATTCGTCTGGACTGGTTGTATGTTTTAACTGGCCTGTGGAAACAGGATGGATAGCTTTATCAATATGAATAACTCAGCTAATTGTGGTGTTTCTTCATTATTTATATAGCTCAGCGATCCGGAATCCCAAATCCTTGAATCTGATTGGCTAATCGCGCGCTCTCCAGCGGTCCTGAATTTCCCATCCGCACCCCGAATACGGAACACTCCAAAATTTCCAACCTTGGCAACTTTTCAAGCTTTTTGTTACACCGTAAAACAACGTCAAAAAAAAAAAATCAATACAGAGTCAAACAATCATGTATTGCGATAACGAGAGCTATCATTGCGAATTTTAACGTACTTCAAGAAAACAAAAATTTTGGAAAACGCAAGCAACGGCAGAGAAGATAAGACGAAGAATTGTCACAGAAAGGACATTTTAGGCCAGAAACTTTGGTAAACGTAACATTTTCCTACCCAGTGTCACATACAAAAGTCAGGCTGACGAGTTCTGAAGACAGGATCTCCTGTTTTGCTCAAAATGTCAAATGCACGCGTACTCCAGATTTGAACTGGAAGGCTTTAACTGAAATTCAATACAAAAGTTGCTTTCAAAGCAATACTGTAGAGAAAAAAATAAACACGTTATTTGCCGGCCTTTATCGGTCCGTATTGGACCTCCTGGTTGGAAAAATAACATATCTATAGCCAAGAGAATATGATCATAATCCCTTGATATAACTCATTTTTCCCAAACTGTGTCACAGAAAGAATATGTAGATGAGTAGGGAGAAGTTTGATAGTGACTTGATACTGACACAGCTTCAAACTGTTTCAGCTGGTTGTGCGGCACACAGAGTCCTTGTGCTGATATTGGCCCAAACTTTCCTGGAAATGCTGAGTATTATTTCAAATTGGAGTTTTCAAACAGGTAATTTGAAGTAATGGAGAAAATGGGATGAAACAAGGGGACCTATTACCTCGGGACGTTACCCGCGGGCAGGCGATCAGTCCCGTGAGCGATCATTAAACTGTCTTGTTCTGCTTGGTGAAGTAAACTTTGAAATTTGACTAAGAATTGACAGCGGTGTTTTCTTTTAACTTCATAGAACCGTTTAGGACAGTATATATAGAAGTAGTATCAAACACTTTGTTAAATGCAGTTGTTACTAGAACAGCTGCTTCAGCTATTCAATTGTTGTAGTTGTTGTTGTTGTTGTTGTTGATGATGATGTTGATGTTATTGTTGTTGCTGCTACTGACAGTAATCGTGAAGTTTTTTTTATGTAGAGGAATTTTTCGTCGCCAATGTTTACCGAGATAAAGACCTTGGAGACTCAGTCACAATTGTGTTATGCCTCATTGTCTTCCACTCCCGCAGAGACTCTTCATTGTCAAAACTCATGAAGGGATTATTTTATTTGTCATTGTTTTCAGGATTGTGGATGCCGATTCTTCAAACTGTGACTTTACGATCCGATTCCTAATACGAGTTCATGGCTTGCCACCAGGCTCATTTAACCCGTCCTCTGTTATTGTTCTGGTGAGAAATTTAGAAACTGGTCAAAGTTTTGAACGAGCGAACCAACCAACCAATGAACGTACGCACGTAGG